GGCGGCATCGGCCCCGCCATCAGCCTCCACCTCGCCATCCTCGGCGCCCGAATCGTCATATCCTATCTCGGCGACCCAACCCCCGCCGACACCCTCCTCCTCTCCATCAACTCCCTCCATCCCTCCCTCTCCTCCCCACGGGCCATCAAACTCGAGACCGACGTGACCGATGAAGCCCAAGTCACTGCCCTATTCGACAGGGCCCAACAGGCCTTCGGGCCGAACATTCACATTGTGGTAACCAGTGCAGGAGTCCAGGATCCAACCTATCCGACCATAATAAACACGTCGTTGGCCCAATGGGAGAAGGTGTTTGACGTTAACGCAAAGGGGACATTTTTATGTTGCAGGGAGGCGGGGAGGAAGTTGGTGAGGGGGGGAGGGGGGAGGATAGTGACGATGTCGTCGTCGACGGTCGGGTCGATAAGGGAGGGATACGGGGCGTATTCGGCGACGAAGGGGGCGATAGAGGTGATGACGAGGGTGATGGCGAAGGAGATGAGGGGGATGGGGATAACGGCGAATGCGGTGGCGCCGGGGCCGGTTGTGACGGCGATGTTTTATGGAGGGAAGACGGAGGAGATGGTGAGGGCCGCGAGGGAGTTGAGTCCGATGGGGAGGTTGGGGGAGCCGAGGGATGTGGCGGCGGTGGTGGGGTTTTTGGTGAGTGATGAGGGGGAGTGGGTTAATGGGCAGGTTATAAGGATTAATGGGGGCTATGTTTGAGGGGTTAATGTGTATGCTTTGTGCTTTTGGGGGTGATAAGAATATGTTATATTCCCATGGAATTATTATTATTATTATTAGGGTTTAGGGTGAGTTATGTGAGTTATCATGATACTCTACTGAATTTTCCTATATTTCTTATTATGATTGGTTGATAATTAATGAGAATATGAGTGTTTTTAGTGATCTTTATCATGAACCTTTTTACTCTTCATTGATGCGAAATAATTCACTCATTCCGATATTATCCATCAAAATGGAAATATAAAAAGTTGTTGATGAGACAATTTCAAACAAATTTAGCATGATCCATGTAATTACACCACATTAAACACACCCTGTGCGAAATTTATAATATGTGTCAAAAAAATATTGGGTAATGTTGAAAGTGATTCAATTCATATAAGCCCAAATCATTCAATTCAAATACTGTCGAAGATTTTTGTGCATCACTTAAAAGGTCTAAGGATCTTAAATTTTGGCATGTTTATAGTCAAATCAAAAGTTTCAACGAGAGGAATAACCTATGATCAAGAGATTCAATGTGGATTGCCACATGAAATGTTTTGAAATTTTGACTGCATTTAATAAAATACCACGCTTAAAAGTTTAAAATTGGACTCAATTCTTTACTTGAAGGGGAAGAGGTGGGAGAGGAGATGTGAAAGCTTACTACTAAAAATTAATTCCTGAAGTCCCTACGGTCAACGTCAGCTGCTAAAGATTGCGACTAGACAATAGAGCTCACTCACAACTGCCAACGATCGCAATCAAATAAGCCATTATCAACCACCAAAAATAATTATTGCAGCCAAGTAAGATCACTATAGCCATTATAAACAAAATTGTAGCCTAACTACGGCTTTTGTAACAAATTAAGACCATTACTAACTACGATTATAATAACCTCGAACTACGGCATATGTCAGCTTTTGTTGCCAACTATTGTTATTTTTGACACGTACTACGGCTTCTGTAACCACCTATGTCCTGTATAACCTTCAACTACAACTCATGTAGTCAATTAAGACTTACTTGTATCCACCAATTATTGCTTCTCTAGCTAACTGTGATTATTATCGCCTCTTTTATTTATGTTACCAATTACAACTTCTATAGTCAACTACAGTTATTAGTCTCAAACTACGAGTTCTATGGACAGCTTCTACTATTGTAGTGACCAACCATAATTCTTGTAGCTCAATTATAATTGTTGTGGCAAAACTTGTATTAATTTTATGTTAGATTTCACCTCAATTTTTCATTCATCATGCTAAATTTATGTACAAAATAGGAAAATTTACATACACCTGAAATTTATCTTTTAATTTATAATATTTTAATGTAAAAAAATTATGTATGAAAACATATATTTTTTATTTTTTTAAAGGCTAATAATAATGACAATTTTTAAATGATACTGAATATTTAAATGCTGTAAACATGAAAATTTAAGTTTTAGATATGTGATGTAAATTCAAAAGAAATGTGTTGCAAGCACCTCAATGCCCTAACAAATATGATGTATACTTCTCGTAAACTTAATTTATATAATATTTAATTTTCTTATATCATATTTATTTTTTAAAATGAATGCATATCATATATTTTAAAATAATTATGATATTAAAATACTATATATATAAATGATAAATTAGTAAAAAGATATCGATGCTTCAAAGAAACTCGAGGGTGAAAAATCAATAGGGCCGTAAAATATCCCCATTGAAGTCAGAAAATATTTAGAAAATTTAGCAGTTTCTCAACTTACTAAACTCCTTAATGAATGAAGTTGGAATTAGCAAACAAACGAGCTCGGTTCACCCATAGAACTAAAAGAACCAAATCATGACACGAACAAACAAGAGCAAAATTGGTAGCACGACGAAAAAACAATCTTCAACATCATCTTTCCCAAAGTCTCTCATTTAGCCAGCAAACTTATTACACTACATACATGATACCTCAGTAGAAGAAAAACAAATAAATAAACAAAAGACATCAATCTGGGGCAAAGTATATCAGTATAAAAGGCAAAATAACAACAATTATTTAGCTCCATGATGAAGGCAGACATGGAATACGAGTTTGCTGACATGATCACAAAACTTTGAACCGACACTTGTAAAAGGACCTCAGATTTCTTTCATATATATGTATGAACAGAATCGCTTAAAACACAGAAAAATTTAAATCATTTGCTATCTGCATCAAAATTAGCAAAGCTGGCTGTGCAAAATGGTTAAGTACCTCAGATTTCCGAGCATGAAGAAAATACTTCTTTCTGTGCTGAAGCAGCTGAAATTACTAAAAGAATTGATCCATTGAAGCTGGACGGTGAGAAACCCACTCCAACATTTGTGAGAGCTTCAGCACTCGCGAGGTTATTAACGCCGATGCTTGAAGCTGCAACTTAAAAGGTATGCAATGCTAGAGAGGAAATTTTCCATTTTAGTAGCCGCAACAAGTGTAAAAATCAGAACAAGGTTTCTGGCAACTAGTCGCATGCCTCAAAAAAGAGTACTTGAGGTTGCAGATGCCCCTTCTCGCACATATCAATAACATCATCCCAGCTGCCGATCACCTGCACACATCAAATACATGGCACTCAATTCCTATGTATTTACTTATCTAACACCTAAACTGCAAATTTTAGGTACATTCCACCTTAACTATGTATGTTTGAAAAAATCTTTTTCAATTTTTAGAATTTAAAATGGCGGTAATTTTGATACGGTCACGTGGGCTCCAAAAATTACAATGCCTCCTTGTGAACTCGGCATTTATTTATAGTTTTGTTTTAAGAGAGCTTTGGAGGGTCAAATTTTCAAAAGACAAGTTAAATTGTAGATAAAACACTACCCAGAAATTTTACTGTCATTTTGCGAGGACTTTTGGGCTCCAAAAATTACAATGCCTCCTTGTGAACTCTACATTTATTTATAGTTTTGTTTTAGGAGAGTTTTGGAGGGTCAAATTTTCAGAAGACAGGTTAAATTGTAGATAAAACACTACCCAAAGATTTTACCTGTCATTTTGCGAGGACTTTTTGATTTGGGGTTTAAGGTTTTTCATAGACAAAAGCCCCTAAGATTTATTACCCTTCCCGGTAACGAGAGAGCACTTTCGATTAAGGATAGTCATTAACAATTGAGTATTCAACATATAATAGCAACAGATTTAGGATTTAAGTTGTAAAATTCATCACTTAAAGCTTTAAAAAGGATGATGGACAAATGAAAACTAAACCCGATCAAGATCTCATGATTCCGTCATCTTGGGTCGTCGTGATCTCTAATCTACTTAATCAAAGGATAAAGTCGACCAAACCTGACAGAAGCATTCTTATAAGCAGTCATGGGTTGCGCCGCCCAAATGATCATTGTAGATCTAGGTGAATATTTACCTAAGCAGACAAATTTAAGTTAGCATTTAGCTAACCAAAGGCCTTGGTCAATCAATTATACATTCATGATTTAGAACTCAATGAAAAAGTCATCAGAAAACATACAAGTTGTGGTCGTCACCATGGTATAATGGTGTCATTTGGTGGCAATCAACTGGTAGCAACGCTCTGGCCGTAACCACTAATAAGTGGTGTCATTTTGTGGCGAAACCACACAGACAGAGAACCTGGGTCATGTCCTTACTGGTATGAAATGACTTTGATTGTGAATATTGCATCCACTTAATATGACATTAACTCTTTGCGAGTTAAAGTCAATCAAAAATTTGTCACCCTGGACAAACTATTACAGAGGGTGGATGAAATTTACTTTAAATCTTTAGTGATTGATTTTTAGCTTGGATATTTTAATTGATTATTTTGAAGAACTTAATTTAAAAGATTGACACCTCTGTTTGAAATATTCTATTAACATGACCTTCATCGGGGTTTTGTACATTTAAAGCTCTTATGTTTGAAAGGGCATTTAATTTTATTAGTTTGGCCTTTTAGAGTATGTGTACTGTCAAGCCCCATCCCTTTAAAGAGGAGGAACATATTAGATGATTTGTACTTTTAAATTTTTATCTTTAGAATTTGAACATTTATTTTGATATTACTAGACTCGTCAGCCCAGTCCTTGCAAGGAGGATCAGACTAGTTAAGTGAAACTTACAATCCTATCCTATAAACAAGACGACCCGATTAGCGTGTGCAACATTCTAGAACCTAATATTTGAGTGTCCAATGCATTGGATAGAGCATCTGCCGACTTTTATATTTCAAAAGTCGGCAGATGCATTGGTCATGTTATACAACGCTCATCTACAAACAAACACAATACAACACTCATCTACAATTCGAAAGGTAGATCCTTTCCACAAACCCTAGACCTCGTTAGTAACACCATAAGAGAAAAAAGAAAACTGCAACCACCAAACATGACATGAAAACAAACCCTAACCCACTCTAGGCACTGAGATCGCCCTGAGTATCCCGAGACTGGGTTGGCTGACTTAAACCGTCCGTCGGCTCGTTTGGCTTGGGCTAACCAATCCAAACCAGTCCTC